TGTTACAGGTATTTAATTCAAGAGAATTTGCTACTGAAATTTGATTGGCTATCACAACCTGCCCATAAATTGGCACATGCCCATAAATTGGCTCGTTACGTTAATACCGCCACAAAAACAGGTGATCCAAAAGTTCACCTAATGGACCATGACCAGCATCCGACCACTGCAAATTGGGCAAGTGACCTCATCGAAACTCGCACTGTCACAAAGTGAAAGAATCAACCCCCAACCGTCACAGGAGACGTCATCAAGTGAATCGTGAACCGACCGGGCCATCAAGTGACCCGAACCGACAAGTCGACAACCCGTCATCAGGGTTAGGGAAGTGTTGAAGTTTCGATGATGCTGCCAAACCTGGAACAGTCAGCGAATCAGAACCCGACTGCCGGTTGTCACATCAAGAGACGGCGAAGAGACGCGAAGCTGCTCAAAGGGATATGAGGACATGGAGATGCAGAGAACAAAGCAGACTAGCTTCCGTTAACACAATTCACTTTTCGTTTTGTCTTCTTGGACTGAAGTCGCTAGCACACGCTTGCCGCTGCATCCTCGCCATCGCCGACACGGAAATACCACAATCGTTCAAGACTTCTCTTTGGATACTCTTGGGCTGTCTTGATGTGGTCCGAGATTTCGTCGTCGAGTACCACGACGAGGTCTGCTTGAACATCGACGCCCCTCGCGATCGCCGGCGAGAGCCCAGTGACGTCGCCTCGCCAAAGAGTGCCAAAACTTCCTCAGCGTAGTCAATTTGACGCCAGTAAGTTCCAATAGACGTACATAGCGCGGTCGTAAGGGACGTGTTGGTAAGTAACACTATCCAGAACGTGTAACCCCTTGTCTGGATGCCCTTGCCCATGACCACTCCTGACAAACATGTGGCAACGTACCGGTTTGGAACAACGCTAGTGTGAGTGTACATTGTTCCTCGGCACATGTAGGGTACACCATGGCGGTGAACAACTCAGACGCGTTGGCTGCCACATTGATGGGCAAGTCGGCAGGGGCAGTGTACGACAAGAGCGTGTAGTTCCGCGGTAGAGAGCGAAAACGATCGAACGCTGTCGAATTGCGACTACATCCAGTTCACTAGGCCGACTAAGTCCAGGTCAGGCAAAACACGGCCGCCAGTTAGCCCCACAGCGTTCTAATTGACAGGAGTCACGCAATACTAGTCGGTAGTCGGTTTTTGTGACATGATGGCCACGTGATGATGATAAAGTACAGAGGACAGGTACGATAGCGGTGGTGGTTTGTTAAACAGCATGGTCACAATACATAACTGTCGTCACGGCGAGGCGCGCAGTCGGGATGAAAAACAGGAACGGCCACTCGAACCCCTCAATGATCGAGTAGCCAGACCCGAATGCCAAGTAGTACCCGCTTGAGACGAGAATGTTAAACACACCTGGCAAGATCTCGCGTGATGGATCACGTACGAGAGAAAATACCTCGCTCGCTGGGTGTATACCTCGGCGCATTGATCTTCACGACGGCACTCACTCGCGCCAAAGCCTTGGCTGAGCACTTTCAGAACGTTCAGAGCCATCACGCTTACATGGGTGAACGTGTTGGTGACAAACAGCATGCCCAGCGTTAAGTTGCACAAGCCAGACATCACATATGCAACGAGCAAGCCAATACGACCTTCGATGCGATCCGTCACTTGGCCTGTGAACGGTGCAATGATCGCATATGCCAATGAGCTGCAATACATGATCCTACATATGTCATTTATCAGGCAGGCCGTCGCCACCCGGTGGCGACCGACGAGGCGTGGACGTATGGTGGACAATCCGGGACCGTGCCTCCTGTGTTTGGCAGAACTACCGGGACTACTGCGGTAGTTGCCCCTGAAGATGTGGACATGCGTCAGGACATTTATTTGCATAACGCTCCTGCTCTCCTGAAGGAACGATGTTCAAAGGGTCCACGTAAGACGAACGGCGTGTGTTTATGTTGGCGTGCGATCAGTACATCAGCCAGACTCAAGCCCTAACTGCGATTGGCGTGAAACCCTTTAATATACCGATGAGCGCGTGTACTGGGCCGGGGACCAAACAAAGGGTGGCCGAATGGGACATGGGGGGAGGATCCCGAGGCGGTCACTGAGACGGAGCGGGTGGCCTGGTTTTTGGAAGCCTATAACGTCGACCATCGGGCCTTTGCTACGCTAAAAATACGGATAGAGGCTGCGGTGGTCTTGGACATGTCAGCCCCGACGCGGACTGCCGGGTCAGTCTTATGTTGGACGGCCGAGCCACCGCTCTGCGTAAGGACCGGCAGGAGTGGGTTATGCATGAGGAGAGTCAAGCGATTGCAACGATCATTACTGATGCGGTGAAGCCGGCGTCGCATCATCGCGCCATGATGGAGCAGATGGCTTTGACGAGGAACAACCCCTTGAAGAAAGATGTCTACCGTCATACGTTGGTTGCGCGATTATGCCGTTTTTGGCATAAACGTTTTGTCGGTTACGAGGAAGACGCGAAGCCGCCGGTGAAGCCAGAGCTGGCTAAAGCAGCTGCCGGGGGTCTGACGTCAATACCCCAGAACGAGGAGTAACTACCAACGAAGGCTCCGGCGGCGTCGCCAGCACCTGTGGTGGACGGAAGCTTATGGGCGCTTGTTTGTCTTGCAATTCCACGAGCCACCAAATCCGGGACTGTCCGGGAGCTACAAACGTTGATATCTTGAAGTTGCTGATGCATCATGGATGAGCGATACGTGAAACTGGTGACGGTAAACTCATGACTAAGATCAAGGGTGACTCGAAGCCAGTGCGGGAGGCCATGACCTCAAGAAAATCTTGCTCCTATGGGACGATGTTAGTGCTCATTTTTGTGACGAAGGGGCTCGAGCAATCTCTTCCCAAATCAGTTCGCAATATCCACGCAACACCAAGTTCTCATGTCCGCAACACGCCAGCAACTTCTCCGCCCCCAGCCCGCACGTGCGACATGGACCACGAACGAAATTGT